TTTTTTATTATCATAGTTATTATTAACAATGTAAAGTCTTGTGCTTTCATGATCACTTGTACAACATTATAGATTCCAACTTACACAAAAGCTTTGAGAAAAATTTCAACAATTTAAAGTCTTGTGTTTTCATCACTAGAACAATCAATGCCTTCAAGAGGTGCAACTCTCCCCCCGAATGGAGGATTAGTGGATGGATGGATGTTCTGTGTGTATGAAAGGATGGATGATTGTTTTTTTTTCTATTTTTTGGTTCAACACCACTGTTATCATTTTAGGGTTCCGCACCGATTTCGAAAAAGCTTTTTGGAATCCGTTGGACCGATTTCGAGAAAAATATCATATCTATCACGCTTTTCGATCAACTTTTTCTCGCATTTTCCCCTCTACTTTCCCCCATAAAACAACATTTTTTCTCACATTTTTTCTCACCTCCAAATTTTCCTTCTCCTCCCTCATTTCCTCTCTTTATTCAGAAACAAGGTGTACGGTGAGTGATTAATTCATGTCTTCAATTGAATTCTTTCCTACCAAATTTCTTACACCCATCATAGGGTTCCTGATCCTAGCATCAGCCTCGTGCTTCAAGGAAGGAAAGGCAAGTCATGCCTCCTGCTCAGGGTAGGGGAGAGAGTTGTATACGATCTGCACAAAATTGTCGCCATATACTCACTTTATCATCTCAAAAGCCAGCGGGGTAGGAAATGGTAGTCCAGTGGACACAGCTGCACCTTACCCCACTGGCATTTGGCACACCTAGTGTTCCCTACCATCGCCATGTTGTCCCTGGAAAATGAACAAATTAAAGGAATAAGAGGACAATTAGCAAGGAGCCCGAAAGTTAATTATAGGAGAGACAGTTATTACAAAAGTGATCGTAGGAGAACGAAACATATATACCTGATATATCAATGCAACCAAAGAAATTAAGAGGTAGCAGACCAGTGGAGTGTTCGAGCAACAAGATACGTACTAAAGTAGTTGCTTGATGAATTTTTACTTGCATGTTATGTACATTGTTGACGTACCTTATATATAGTACACCATATCGAGGTTAGCTAATCGATCATAACTCAATTCCCTTACTCATCAATTTGCATGTCTGACCTAACATACATTGAATGTATCTAAAGCAAAATTCATGTGGCTAACCTAATTATCTATTCTCTATGGTATCGTTTGCATTAGTTATTTGGTATTTTTGGTTGCAAAATACATAAATAGTTTTGTGGTTCTAGACATAGATGGTAAAATACGATACATGTGAGTTGCGTATACAATACGTAGCGGTACTATACTTTGTTCTATACTAATGGTGCATTTGATAGTACATCAATAGTCATAAAATATATGAAATTATTTTAAAAAAATAAATGCATAAACACTACTCAAATAATGAATTTAATTTGGATATCAAAAAATAGACCGAAGAATATAAATTTTTTTGCCATTAATAAAGAAACAGAAGTTTTAAACGCATAAAATACATATGTCCATATATGCAAGTATTAAACATAGTAATTACTAAGTGACAATTACTTTTTGTGTGCCTAGGACCAAAGTTGTCAAATCGGTTTATATCGGTGTGTCGGTTTTACAAGTGGAATGGTCCGACTGTGGTGGAACCAGTATTCATGTTGGTTATGCCGGTGTTAATAAAATACATGAGAAAAATAAAAATCCTCAATTCCAAATTAATTAGTTATGAAAAAAGCAATTAGAGGAATTATTTCACTCAAAATAATTTATAGCTAAAAACTGATAATTAGATGCGTAAAAATAAAACTATATAAAATGAATCTGATTGCCTATTAATTTTCTAATTTAGAAGCTGTGCATGGTTTTTCTTTGATATTTTCTTTTACGCATCTAAATTTATGAGGTTGTACATGGTTTTTTATTAATTTTTTTATCTCGTGCATCTAAATGTGTTGGCCAGATATCGCGAGCATGTAACATTTCTTTCAACTTGGTGACAATAATTTTGAGTAGAGGATTCAAATTATTATACATAATTATCCAATTAGAGTTGATTTTCTAACTTATTTATCCATTAATGAATGTATAATCCAACAAACTTAAGATTTATGATATCCGATCTGCCACATAAAAAAAAATTGTTAGTGTAAACTTCAAACCATATTAAGATATTAAAACTTAACTCTATTTATATTAATTTCTCTAGATGACCTGGCGTATTGACTGTCTATCAAATTCGTTGACCATTTAAGTTGATGGTCAACTATAGGTCGAGCCAAATTGGTCAAATTTTATTGAAATTTTGCACATAATAGGAATTTAGAAATTTTGGCCCAAAGTAGTCTATTAGACCATCTCCATCCCTGCAATCAATAAGCAATTTCTAAAGTGGGCCCTTATCGCCACATCACCAATCAAGCAAAAATCCTATTCAATCATTTCCAAACCCCTACACCCCTAAAACCAATAAGCAATTGCCAATAGTGAACCCATACAATTTCTTACCACATAACAAAGAAAGAAAAAGTGATTGAAAAATAAAAGATATCCTAGGTGGCATTGCAGGATTAATTTCTTATTTAGCAATCTAGTTAAATAAGAAAACACCCGCACATCCTTGCAATTGCTTAAAAGTGGTGACACCTAGGATCCCACTAAATAAGCAATAGGTATAAGCAATGAGATGGAGATGGTCATAGGTAAAGTCAAGCCAAACTAAGATATTAATCCTATTATTTATTATTTCTCACAAGTTGAAGTGACATGTTGACTAATGGTCAAATTTGTTGGCTGTTCAACTGGATAGTCAGCCCACAAGTCAAACCAAATTGGTCCAATTATTTTGAAGTTTAGGACACGATAGAGACTTTATAATTCGGGACAAAGCTCTAGATTAGTGTAAAGCTTATAAGATATTGATCGGGTTTAGTGCACGTTATGCTAATTAATTTTGTTATTTAGATCATGAATTAATTGGAGTTTGAGATATGATATTATACTCGAATCTCTAATTAATTTTATATGTCTAATTAATTTTATTATTTAGATCATGAATTAATTGGAGTTTGAGATATGATATTATACTCGAATCTCTAATATGTGAACTCGACCCTTGATTCTCGGGAGCGGTTACGGTGCTAATTGTACAAGAGTTAGCACCGTCCTAACCAAGAGTTAATAGTGATTTAGCTTAGATGTTGTATTGATTTAAAAATAATTCGTAGAGATTTCGTTGTTTTTAGTAGCATTTTTTGCTAGTTATCACGGTGCTAACCCCTATAAGGGTTAGCACCTAATCCCATCCCTTGATTCTCTAAACAAATTATAAGATTCATTTCATCTAAAAGTAATCATCGACCAGAAGCATATTGATGTACATTTAATAGATGTTAATGCGAACTTATATTATGTGCCTAGCGTACGCTAATGCCACAGTGAACAATCGAGGCCTCCTCATCACCATACATTACACCAGATGACAACTACCTAAAGTGCAACAAGTATGAAACATAATGAGCAAAATGTGCTTGCTGTAATATAGGAATTTGAAGTACTAATTTAGAATTTGCAAGTCTTTAGTTCGAATCCGTTAAGTAGTACTTTAATTAAGAAAAAAAATTTATATAATCCTTATCTTATCCAAAAGAAACCATCTGTAACATATTGGTCAATGTGATTCTTCACCCCTACAAGTGTAGCCGAAGAGAGGTGAAACTTGGTGAATTTTTTTTTTAAATGGACGGGCAGTAGCATGGTAAGAACTTCCGCCAATTAATCTACTTGTAGGAAGATAGTGAAGTCGTAATTGCTATTTGTTCATGGAATTTCTGCCCCCAAGATCACAAATCTATCACATAACCATTTATAATTTCTTGGAACACTTATTTTGTAATATTGTCTAACTTTTTTTCCTAAAAATACATTTATGTCTATGAAAACCAACGCTGTCAAACCGGTTTATGCCAGTGTGCCGGTTTAGCAAATGGAATGGTTCAACCGGTGGTACATACCGGTTTGTGTCGGTTCATGCCGGTTAATATTATAAATAATTTACATGGTTGTCAAACCGGTTTCATGCCGGCCGGTTCAACCGGGTTCAACCGGTACCGGTCAACAAACAGGCTGGAAAGGGGCCGGTATTTAACTGTGGTCAAATCCGGTCAATACCGGTCAGACCCGGTCAAATCCGGAAATTCCGGCCGGTTAGACCAGAAACCGGAATTTAGTGGTACACACATTATATCCAAAAATAAACATACTCCATAGGATTTGAACCAAGTACCTCATGTTCATTTAAGTTTAACTCACACACCAGTAGGCGAAAAGCAATTTTGTTGTCTATATTAACCTTATATGTTATATATCTAATACTAAATTTTACACAAATCATTATAAACATTAATAAAATTCATTTAATAAAATTTTGTTTTTAAGCATCTAATTGTTTAGTATTAGTTATCAATTCTTGGCTATAAATGATTTTGTGTGAAATAATTCTTCTAATTGCTTTTTCATGATTAATTTATTTGGAATTGAAGATTTCCATTTTCCTCATGTATTTTATTAAAACCGGCACAACCGGCATGAATACTGGTTGTACCACGGTCAGACCATTCCACTTACAAAACCGGCACACCGGCATAAACCGGTTTGACAACCTTGATAATTTATAAATTTTCATATTTAAACACGACATTTAACGTCAATATCTAAATATTTGTACTTGAATCCAACAAATAACATCAACATTAACTTTTTAACACATAAAATAAATAATAAATTACTTATCAATTAAATTCACTAAAATAAGATCATTTTATTTGGAGATTCGTATATCGATCATGCCGGTTTTATGACCGGTACAGGTTGAACCAGGTTGAACTAGTGGCACGCCGACCGGGGTGACAGATGAAATATTATTATTGATTATATTGTCATAATTTTCACGAAAAAATGATTGTATTGCCATAAAAACTAACCAAATCTATAAAATTAGAGTGGACATCCCGGCCATCCCCTCCCCTCAACACCGTCCCGCTCGCCGCCGCGCGCCCCCTCACTCCCACTCCACCGTCTTCCTCCCACCGACCCACTCTCTTCCTCTCTCCGACTCGCCCGTGCCACCATTCTCGTTCGTCCGCTTCTCTCAATTGCTATCCTCCTCCGACGCGTCTTCGCCCCACCTCTGGAGGTGATGCTATGTCCGGTGTCCCTGCTTCCCCTCTTTGATTAATTGATTGCTGTCAAACTAGGTTTTCAGGTCTGATTGTTCGTTGTACAATTCCTGCACGAATGAGATACGCTACTGTTTGCCAATAGCCAGCTGAGGATCTCTCAATTCCTAGGGTTGAGAAAATGGAAAGAATGAGTGATATGATCGCTATGCCAAATTACCAAATTCAGTAGATTTTATCACAGTAGCATCAGTTTTCAGTTCTCGAACATAGATTTTCTCTTACAGTTTCATGATGTGGGTTCAAAGGCTTTTACTGATCGAGTTTTCTTACCCTCCTCGTCTAGGGAAGTTACGTTGCAAGTTAGCGAGAGCTCTGTATGGATATTTGACTCCGGTGAAGGAATCATTGCCTGCTCTTCGATCCACCGGAGCCATGAAGCTAATTGCAATTGCAAGGGCAGCAGTTCATTCCCGTGCAAGTCTCCGCAGAGTAGTTCATGGGTTCTTGCAGGTGAGGTGTTTCCAGCACGACTTCGTTCCTAGAGATCCTTCGGTCAAGCCCAAGAAGTACAAGTACCCAGCTTTCTATGATCCGTATGGTCCCCGGCCTCCACCATCAGAGAAGATTGTTCAGCTTGCAGAGCAAATTGCAGCCCTGCCGCCCGAGGAAAGACGCCAAATTGGACCTGCTCTGGGGCTCAAGCTAAGCCATCCGAAGCTCGAGACGATCTCTACTGAAGGAATGGAGCTGGGTTCAGCAGCCGGAGGAGGGGCTGGTGCAGGAGCTGCAAAGGTTGAGGAGAAGAAGGAGAAGACGGCATTTGATGTGAAGCTTGAGAAGTTTGATGCAGCTGCTAAGATTAAGGTGATCAAGGAAGTCAGAGCTTTTACTAACTTGGGGTTGAAAGAGGCCAAAGAGTTGGTTGAGAAGGTGCCTGTTGTGCTGAAACAAGGAGTCACCAAAGATGAAGCCAATAGCATAATAGAGAAGATTAAAGCTGCTGGTGGCTCTGCGGTCATGGAGTGATTAAGCTTGAGCACTTGGTTTCCATTACACTTTAGTTTGGCTGTTTCTTTCTTTTGTGCTTGTTAGGTTGATATTGAATTGTCAGAAATATGAGTTGAATGACTAGCAGATGGAAATGGGACTCCAATAATATATTTTTGAAGTAGCTCCAACTGGATCCTTGATCGATATCAGAGCATAGTGTAAAACTAAGCATAGTGTAAAAGAACAGAGCATAGTGTAAAACTAAGCCAGCTTCCTTTCAACCCACATACATTAGGAAAACTGCCAAGAGAGCTTCTTTCCCCCATATGGGAGAGCTTATTGTTCCTACCTAATGAACAGCTTACACGAGGTTCCATACATAATCGGTTTGATTGCCTTTCTACATCAATGTCGTTTAAGAGGAAGATTTGGACATGGAGCTGACTTTCTTCATAAGTGAGTTTATCTCACTCTCCAACTTCCTCCTCATCTCAGGGGAAAGACCATCTCCCGATTTCTGCAGCATTGATGTCATCATCTCCAGATTTTGCCTTATGGCATCGATGGGAGGTGCTATCACCGCTTTAGGTGCTGCTGGCATTTCCGTGGTGTTCAACTCTCCCTTGGAAGGAGATGTTGGTGAAGCTGCAACAGGAAGAAGCCGGCAACTCACAGGGGTTCTGCTGAAAGGATTATCACCCTTCTCTAAGCTTCTGTATGACTTGTCACCATAAGCAGCCTTTGTAAAGAATACATGTGGTGGGGCACCAGGGTTTTGCAGAGGCTGTGATTCTGGCTCTTTTGGAGGTTCTCCATTAAACCATTTCCTGCTGTATTTAACTAATTGTTCACTGGGGGCATATTTCTTTGTTGGTCTCCCTGGATTACCTCCTCTTCCTCTTCCCCTCTTCACCCCAAGATTTGTGAATGTCCCAATTTCAGCATTAAGTCCCCCATTTAAATCAGGAATTCCAGTAGCAGCAGAAATAACCTGTTCCAAGACTGGGTTCTCCTTCCTCTTTCTTTCCTCGGGTACAGGCTTACCTTCTGTTTTGATAGTATCACCACTAATGAGTGGCGGATCCCTTGTGGATGGCCCGGAACTTATTAACTTACCGTCTGTATCCGAAATGCTAAAAGTGGAACATGTCAGATTACCTTCAACAGGAAGATGATTTGTAGAAAATGGTCCTTTACCGTGTAAACATTCCGACAATGTTACAGGTTCTGAAACATTTTCATTCACAACTGGCAATGTAGCTTTCTCCTGTATCTTTGTCACGGCCTGTGGACTTAAAGACAACAAATTTGGTACACCACCCACGCAGCTGTTTAGGTCAGGTATGTTGGCAATTTGGTCAATCTTCTGGCTTGCCACAAATGTTCCTTGCTCCTCCCTTCCATTATTGTATACAGGTCCTTTATCTGACGACGGAAGAATGCCTATGCCACAGTTATTGGTTGCTGCCGTGCCATTTGTAGCATTTTCGACATTACTAATAACTGAATTTCCAGATTTATTCATGTTCTTCCATACCTTCTGCTTAGGTGGCAAAGTCTGACTAATCTCTTCAGCAACCTTACCAAGGGGTGTCTGAATCTCAGCAGCATTACCCCAAATGGTGTTCTTGCAATGCCTCTCATAAATGGACTCGTCATGAAACGCTGATATTCTGAACCTCGAGAAGAACCACTCTACTAGGGCAAAGTTCTTGCTCTTGCTTTGATATGAACAATCTACAGAAGCGCTAGACAGCTCAGACAACAAACCTGAGACCGATGCTCCCAGAAACTCCGGGTTGCTTGATATACTTGTGTCACTGATGAAATTCTTGAACCACCAGTTTCGGAATCTTTTGTCATAAGATATAGAAGAAGCTCCACTTAGCCCAACAACATCCTCACTTGAAACACCTCCCAGAACTTCCATTTCTAGACCGCTGGATTTTTCCTTTTCATCTGGCCTGTTGTTTTTAAGTTCCAGGCTGACATACGGATATGATAAATACTTGCTCCTCTTCCTTTCCCTCAAGTCAAAGCTCTGATTATTCGTTTTCAATGGAGAACCCAAGTTTCCAGTCTCCTTTGCTGAAGGTGTGGTCAACAAATCTTCACCAAGATCTAGATCTTCTCTTCTGAAGTTGATTTCAAAGAACTGTTTACGTTTTCTTTTCCTTGATCTTGATTCCAGGTCATTCTGTCCCAAAGTTTCCTTATGACAGGCACCTGTCCCTTCAACCGGAGTTGAGTTTTTATCTCCAACTAGAGCATTGCTGTTGATTTTTGTTGTCATTGACCCATTCTTGCCACCATTTCTCTTCTTTGGACTCTGCTCCCACAGTTCATCAATGTGCAACTGCAAGTGTCCTCTGAAACAAGAGAATGCTTCCACCTGAATCTTAGCAACTGCGAAATCAAGCATAGGAGGTTTGCTAACTGCCACTGCAAGTTGTTTGATCCGAGAAAGAAATTCCATTGGCTCAAACTTTGTCACTGATTTACCAAATCTGAACTCTTGTAAATATTTGCCTTCCTTGTCACTACTACCACCTTGTTTGACCATGCAAGAACAATTGATCTCCGACTTCAAACATCTCATAAACTCATCCATGGCCTTCTCTACAGCTCCAGTGAAGTTTCTACCCTTGTTTCCCCCTACAAGTTGATCAAAACTGTCATGGAAATGCCTTAGGTTATATGGTGGGCACCAGGTGAAATGGCTAGCACCGAAATATTGAACTACATGGCAGTTGATCCGGTAACCTTCTTTAGAACAAATCATTGCATTAGAATCACCACAAATCTTTCCTGGCCTCCAAGACTGGTTTTTCATTCTAACCCAAACTACATCCCCTACACAGAACCGCTTAATCGGCTCTTCTTCAAACTCTTTCCTTGCACCATCCTTGGTCAAACCAACACAATCCATATCCTCGGAATAACCAGTTTGATGAAGAGGACCAGGAAGCTCCACATACAGTGACATGTCATCGCCTGAAACATTTACATTCCTACCTGTACTCACTCCGTCATTGGCCAAAACTCTTCCACTCGAATGCTCCTCTCTTCGAAATTCCCCATCAGCGCAATCTCTTAAAGATGAGACCTTATCAACTTCAAGAGCATGACCACCATTAACCACTTGGGAAACAATCACGGAAGTCAAATCACCACTTGCACATTTCTCTCCTTCACAAACACCGTTTCCCGCAATTATTTTTTTACCATGTCCTTCTGGCAGCGCCTCAGACTGAGACTCCACAGCACCGCATTTCTCAGGACAAGAACCAGTAGCTTGACCCAACAACTCCATGGCCACAAAGTTTCCAGCTTTTTATGGTTTTACCATCTGGGTTCTCGGCCTCTAGGGTTTTATCAGGGGGTTTTAGCATCCTCCATGCACTAACTACTACACCAGAGCTCCCACACACAAATCTCAATGTCCCACCTGCTGCTCCTAAACATGAAATTATATTGCTTTTATCATCTAATTAACATGAATAATCCAATCCGAACACTGAAACAGCAAAACAAACTCGACACATTACGATTTACAAGGGAATTTACACCGAAGTACACAAAGATACCAACCTGTGAGAAAGTTATTGTATGGTTGGGATTCCAGGAAAAAAAAAAAGGCTTCACATTGTTGCAGCAGTGACCGGTCGGCGGGTCGACATGATCCAAGACCACACAGGAGTCGGCGTTAAGGTGGAAAGGGTAGAAATTTCAGGTGAAGAATTAAGAAGGCAGAAAGAGGGAAATGGGAAGAGAAAATAAAGCTAGATATACACACTGAAAACAATGTGAAGAGCGGAGGGGGGAAAAACTGTAGAGAGTCGAGGAGAGTGATGAGGTAAGAGATGTGGGAACGGGGAAGGGGAACAATTAACCTCGGCTTCTACTTCCATGTATTTTTACTCCCCATTTTCATATTAGATCAGGGACCGCAAAGGGAGGATTTGGGGTTTCCTAAATCATCCCATTTTCATTTTCAAATATCAAAACACATAATCGTTTCATGTTCATGCAGTCAAATTTTGCAATACCATCCCTTCTCTACAATTTTTTTTATTTTATTGTTCATTCAATATTATTATACATAAAATCATATATATATGATGACTACTTCGGTCAGGGGCGGACCCAGAGAGGTTTAGGGGTGTCAAAATTTTGGGAAAACGATTATCCAACCCCAGTGGTAATTTACGTATGGACAAAAAAAAATTGATAGTGAGAGACACCCCTTAAATTTGAAAAAATGATTATCCTACTGTCATTTGTGTATAGGAATATAAGTGGTAGGTTGGATAATTCAAATCTAGAACACTATTATTATTAATAAACTTAATTTCCGTTGAGCTAAACTCATTTGTTGTTCGATTTTGAACAATGTGTAATAATAAAGTGACATTCCCTATCTCTAATTATTTTAAAAATCTAACAATTAAATTAATTTCAAACTACCCTTAATTTGTATTGATTTTATGATCGTACGACAAGTGTTGAAAGAGTCTTTCAGCTTTGGGTTACATCAAGAACAAGTTTACAAATCGAATATGCGATAAGTTCGTGAATGATTGTCTGGTAGTGTATATAGAGACAATTTTTTAACACTATAGACACCAAGTGTATTCTACAATTATTTTCGGATATGAAAATACATCATGGACTTTTTTAACCTGTACGAGTAAGGTATTTTCATATTTACAATTTTATTTTTATTAATTATTTTTATTGTTATTTAATATATTTTTTAAAAGAGGACACACCTATGAAAAATTTCTGGGTTCGCCACTGATTTCGGTGCACTCACAAAAATGAGTGTGTTCAATGCACACAACTCAATAACTAGCCTTAAGGTGTCAAATTTTGAATTTTAATTTGTATAATTGGTGTAATATGATGATATAACATATAATAACAACTAATTAGCGAATTACCCTAAGCCCTAGACCTCCAATTTTGAGTTTTATCCCTAAACCCCAAATTGTAAACCCTCACCCTAAATCTCTAAACTCTAAATCCTTCATATTAAAGTAAATCTTCAATGATTTTTGTGCAAATTCAAGGGCGTTATTGTTCATCACATCATACGTGATGATTGGCATCATTTTGACATAAATCGCATGTTTAAAATGACGATTATGAAATGAGTGCACTGAATACACCAAAAAAGTGAGTGCACCGAAGACGTCACCATATATATATGGATACAACTCGTATGCTCCAAACACATAGCATGCTCCACAAAATTGGACCGTTGATCTAATCTAACGCTCATTATTAATTCTGATTAAATCAATTAATTATAAATCATTATAATTACTACATGATCCCCTTAAATAATTATACAAACAATATGATCCCCAAATATTTTACGATTATATTTTGTTTATAATACCTAATTCTTTTAATCATTTTTTCAAGCACCCACATTTTTTATTGTTGTCTATGAAGATGTGTTTAATTTTTTTATATAATTAAACTCCTACCAAAACAAATTATATACTCATGCAAATGAATGGCAGTTAACTTCACAGAATCATCTTCCCTAAAATATAAAAAGTACTCCCCATAAATGTCCAATATTTCATCCCATCTTTCCTTCGTTGCCGCCGTTCCATCCCTGCCCTCCAGCCCTAAATCCGGTGGTGTTGCCGCCGCTGACGGGACTCATCGTCGCTTGCTGCTGCAGCTGTAGGATAGATGGTTGTCGGAGACGTCGAAGAAGAAGAAGGTCGTTCGCTGTCGGGACCCATATGTCGATGTTCTATCCGGCACCGGATATCAATCGATTTTTGTTTGCTTCTGCTCGCAGTTAAGGGAGCGGGTAAAATTGAGCCCTCTAGAGCGCCAGCAAGATTAATTACGATTGGGCGATCGGAGAAGGGGCAGAAGAAAGCAGCAACAAAGTGGGTAACAGTGATTGAATGATTGAAATAATGTCGAAGAAGGGTTAATTAACTATGTTCTTGAAGGAATTCCACGGCGGGTCAATTCCGTGTGATCTTACTCAACTATGTTTCCTTGGTACTATCTCTCCAAAAACATCATTCAATTTGCTAAGCGTAAAATCAATAGTTTTGTTATGATGTCTCTAAGGTAGAACCCTATAGATATAAAGATCGAAGGTAGGTAACTAGTGCATTGATGAAATTGTTGCACTCAGCCAACAGCTTGAAGAGAACAAGTAGCGAAAATCATGCTTATCATGATTCAATAGATACGATGGAATAAAGTGAATAAAACAAACAAAACCATGCTTGGAATGGTTTAACAGATACAATGTGTCAGCAGCGCTGCGGATCCAGAATAATATAGAGCATTGAGCCACTTTTAAAAAAAAGATGAAGAGGGTTGGACTGTAAAGCAATGAACATTGAGACGCTGTGTGTAAGTTATTGTACTTGTCCCATGAATAATAACCTTAAGCAGTTGGGAGTTCTTAACAATTTTATTCTGTTCACGGGTTTGAACTAAAGGCTCCAAGATTGCTTCTCTTAATGCAGCTTCTGACAGAACCATAGACAGTATGCCAAATTGCAGCAGTAGGCACTGAATAAGTCACATTCCCAAATAAAATAAATGCATTGGTTAAAGAGAACAATGAATAAATTGCTCGGAATGGAGATAAGGCTGGCGGCAGCTAATACTTTCACTATCCATCTGCAATCTCGTCTTCCCCTTTCTCTTCTGTCACCCCGCCCCGCAATCACCATCGATTTTTTCAATCCCCGATCAAAATACTTATTGCTCCACTACTGCATACCGCTATTATCCCTCGCTCTCCCTTCAGCTGCGGGCAGAAAACAATCACAAATCAATTGAGTTCCTTTTCCGGAGAGAGTGACGGATTGCACAAGACAACATTCCTCGGCGGTAGATTGTGAAGGTTTGGAGTTGTGGGAAGGATTTCATGATTGGCCGCCATAGATTGCGATGCGCTGGAAGTTTGGGGTTGAGAGGCACTTAATGGATTGGAAAAAGAGGAAGAGTGAAAGACGATGAAGAGATGGCAAAATATAGGTCGTTGGAGAAGAGTGAAAATTCAATAGAGGAAGCAATTAAACAAATTTAGATGAGAAAGGATGATCATCGATGTAAAATCTTATGCTTAAAACTACATTCAGAAAAACTAAGGGTACGTTAATATAGAATGTAATGGTAAAAATTATTGGGGGACTATAATACAAGTATAATTATTTTTTGGATGTAGTTAGTAATTATAATTGTAAATTAATAATTAATTTAATCAAGAATAATAATAAACGTTAGATTAGATCAACGGTGTAGAAAACATGGAGCATGCTATGTGTCTGGAGCATACGAGTGTTACCCATATATATTCAGTTATAACCGTAAACAAATCTAATAAATCATGAAATTAACAAAGATATAATCTTTCTTCATACAATTCAAAACATCTTATTATAAAACATCAATTAGTATATAAAATAGATTACAATTCTACCCAAATCATTTATCTCTTACTTGACTCATATACAAAGCAAAAAATAAGCAACATAATCTTGTTAACAAAGGAAAAGAAGTCAAAAGAGCGAATGGCAAATTGAGGAAAAGAAATTCGGTTTTAGTTTGGGTAGCCAAGCCACTCAATTATATTTCTACCCTTTTTATAGCTACCCTTGCTATTATTGACATGTTACAATTTGATTCCTATGTTTTTTACATATATGAAGAAATACTCTTGTTGTAGCGGGTATGAGACGGGGAGGCTAAAACCATACCCGCCCAATCCCCATCAATTTTTTAGGACTTTACCCATACCCATCCCACAACCATTGAAAATAGGGATTCTTCGTGTTGATTAGGTTAGGGGCAATCGGCTACCCACAATTGCGGGTTTGATTCTCAGTTACAATACTAAAATTTTAGAATGTTAATCTCCACGTGTCTCGTCAAGACAATATCATTTTGTTAAGTCAATATTACTAACAAAACTTATAAGGAGAAATTAACATTTGACAATTATTTTTTATTTTGAAAATTTTAGCTATTAATTTGAAATTTTTAAAAGGTTTGACTAATAATTGTATTTATCATAACTATTAACAATTATATATGTTTTCTTTGTTGGGAAACTCCGAATTAACAACCTCGGGCAAAACCTAAGACTAAGTGTGTAAGTCCTATGATAAGACATGGTTATGGTGCTATTTTAATGGTGAGAGTCCTTAGCCAAATACAAAGATTATAGTATGATAACTCCATTTTAATGATAGAGCATTTCCAGTAAAATTGTAAACTTCTATTAAGAACTAAATGATAATTTTAACAAACCTTTTTTATGAATCATGATAACTATTAGCTAAGAATCTTTGGCTAATACTATAAAATGGTAAGAAATATCAACCTAGGCCGAGAACTTTGATCAAATGTTTAAACTAAAAGTTTACAATAATTCATATCCTCTTTTTGGATAAAACTTATGCATATGATATGGTCGAGTACCTTTACTAAGTTGTCTCTCCAGCAATTTCCTCAATCTTTTTAATTTAGCCAACAACACATATACAACTTATTTCTATTTTTTGCTTGGATCTTTAAATCTTTACTTTTTTTTGTAACAATTAAATCTTTACTTTGTGAAGCTAATAAGATCTATTTTGATATATTTTAATAGTTTTCCATTTCATGATCAATGTGTAGATTGAATACACAAAATATTAAGCACATGTGATTCGAATATTCATATGTTAAAAAACAAATATGCGTCACGTAAATTAAAATTCATTAGTTCATAAAAGGGATGAATGTTTTTGTTATGAATATTCATGAAGGGAGATGCATCCAACTAGGGATACTTCATATGAAGCATGCTTATGGAGAATAGACTATTCGTGGAATAAGGGTCATTAATCATTTAATAATAATCCATTTTTCTAATGCTAATTCTTAGAGGAACAAAATTTTAAGGTTGTTTAAATATTCCAACACAATATAATTCGGTCAACGTAACAAGCTAGTTAAGAAAAATAGTATTAATTACAGGGAGAAGGGGATGAATCAAACCATGAGTTTGGATTTTGGACCCATATATTTAATGGGCTGGATCTAAGGGTTTTACAGAAAAAATTATACCTTGTCATTTTTTTTAAATAATTATATTTTTAAATAATTATATTTAAAATTATATTCCCTCATTTAATAATTTAATTGAGATAAAAATGATTCATAAAATAGTACGGATAAGGTACCTCCTTATATTATACGTATTGTAAAATTATTATAAAATAATTAAGCTATAAAAAGTATCGCAATTGATGAAACTGTTATGTAAAAATTAAATGATCTTACGAAATAGTTGTACAATGCAAATTGATGAGATGGTGAATATTTTAAGTAATAATAAATAATTTTTAATTATCAATAAATGAAATTAAGTTATAGAAAGTATCACATTTGATTAAATTATTATGTAAAAAATAACCGATCTCATATAAAAATATTGCAATGCGAATTGGTGAGATGGTGAACTGTTTAGCTAATAATAAATGAATTTTTCGTTCAAAATTATATTACAGAAAAATTACCCAATAT